TACTAGAATGATCATTCCTACTACACAGGGAATTCCAAATACCAATGTAACAAGTGTTTATTTTTGTATAGAGTACGTACCAATGACAGAGAAGTGTTCGGAAAACAATTCAAAATTAAGGGATGTGTCTCAACAATCCTGTTGCTAACTCAGTCTGACAAGAAATCTTACATATACACATCTTTCTAATTGGATTTTGTAGGTAGCTTCACTAGAAACCTTCATGAGACAAAACTCGTCCACTAGGGATCACCTAGGGGTTTAACGGTTTGTTACATATGCTAAATGCAATCGTGTTATCTACGAAAATGATTTTATTTTATTATGTTGTTATTTATTACTAGGGACTAGTAATATTTAGGCTGGGGGGTGTGATTAATCCTAATTAAGGCATAATTTAATAGGTAAATTGTGTTAGTTGAATAAAGTTAAACTAGTCAAAATAAATCAAATTAGGGTTAGTGTGTGAATAAAGGATAATGCATTAATTATTTTTTTTTCAGGGTTTTGTGCGTCAAAGCTACAAACTACTAGGGAGTCAATTGCATTAAAGNTAAGCACACATGAGCAAAACCGTGGTCTCAAATACTAGTCTAAAGTATGCACCTATCCATTAATTTTCAAACTCGTGTGTGTGTGAGTTTAACAAGTAATTGGAGCATTTACGCAACAAAATTCACATTCGAATAGCCTACCAAATTCAGTTTCAATGCAAAACTCACCGGNCTTAGGGACCTATTTTTTCTATTAAATTTAGAGTATTAATATTAGCTGTTAGATTAACTTTAAAGTAAAATTTAAAACGATCTCAACCGCAAATAACAAAATTTATTTTGTTTATCTTTTGAGATTTGAATTGTAAGTTACTTTATTATATAGACTAGTTATTGCCTGTGTCTGAAGGCATAGAGTAATAAAAAATGGTAAATAATATACATATTTGTATTTATATCCAAAATTAAATTACAAANAATTTATGAATCAATCAGAGGGAGGAAAATAGACCATATGTGATACATTATGCTAGAAAAACACTTAATGAGGCTCAAATGAATTACACTATCACCAAGAAAGAATTACTAGCAGTAGTGTTTGCCTNGTAATAGGGGTGAAAGGTGGTGGGCGATAGTAATAGTGGTGGTAGGAGATGGTGATAGTTGTGGTGGGTGACAATAATCATGGTGGTGGTGGTGGTGGCGGCAACGATGATGGTGACAGTGGTGGCGACGGGGTGGTGTTAGTGGCAGGGTGGTGATGGGGTGGGCGACGATGGTAGTGGCGGCGGTGGTGGTGAGGGTGGTGCCGGGGGGTGGCGGTGGGGGGGGGGGTAGTAGGAGATGCGGCGGCGGTGGGGGGAGCAAAAGTGGGGGCGGGAGGA